TTCTATTGTCCTAATGTTTTCTCCAAACTCATGTCTCTTGAAACTCTAGCGCTTCTAACCTGTTAGTCTAATAGTCTCCATTCTTATAGCTCGCATGCTCCTTTCCTTCACAGGACCTGGCAGGCACCTTTCCCAGAATGACAAAGACTAGGCACATTTGGTACAGACAGTAAATAACCTACCTCCTTCCCTTGTACCTTGAGATGAGTCTCCATTGGGTCAGTTACAAACATAAAAGGTTAATAGGACCCCCTTAAAGTGACCTTCAGTCTGGCCAGCTACAGGCCCCTTATCTGCTACTTGGGCAACTGCCATAAATTCTAGCCCACCATGATGAAGCCCCTGGCCCTCATGTCCCTTTCCTTAGCCTAACCATCTCTAATTCCACCTGGCAGTCTCTATCCTTCAGGTTCCGTTAGCCACTTTTCCCTCTACCACACACAACTTTTAGAAGGAGCCTGAAATAAGATAATGCAGCAAGTCCTCTTTCTTTTGCAAGATGACATTTTCAGCCAGTCAATTTGATGATTTTTTTTCAGAGTGGGAATTTCCCATGAATGCTGCAGATGCTTACAGGGTTCCTCTATGTATCCTAAAACATCCAATTATTAACATATATCCTGTAAGACAATGCATAACACATTCTCTATCTCTTATACCACATACCATATTCTATAGACTACAACTAGACCCTTTTAGTCTATAAACTATAACGATTAACATGTATCCTATAACATCGAATACATATTCTCTATGTCCTACAGCATACAACGTATGGTACAAAATATAACTACTCCTATTTATTCTATAACATATTCACGTGTATTGCCATATTCGCAACAAATCCCCACAAGACTGAAGAGATGCTTGGCTTTAAACCAAATTCTGTTCAGTTTATTCTTAAAGTTCAGTGTGTGATAAATTTTTCAACTGCTACTTGTTGGTAGATAGACAACTGAGAATATTAATGTTGCCTGCAGCCTATTTTTCTGGTTTCTTCTGAAAATTGCCGGCCAAGTCTTCCACTATTTTTCTTTCTGTGCTACCCTCTTTACGCTCCCGAGTATCTAATATGGTCTTACAGTTTTATCTGAGTACTTTTCTCTTTCCTTTCACAATTCAATTGAAATAATAAACCACTCCATCAGACTGACTGGTCTCCTGCTGACACCGTCTTACCAGTCTTATGAGATGCAGTCCATCTCTTACTCGAAGCAGCAGGAAGAAGAGATGAAAACATCACTAGAGCCTCTAAACCATTCATTTTCCAGCCCAGAAATTCATAGACGTTAGAGATACATTCCTGCCTTCATAAAGAGGATGAGAATTCATTCTCATATCTATCAACAGAAGTGAGAAGCATTTGGAGGGCTTTATAAGTCTTGGCAGACTCTCAAGTCTTCGTTATATGCTGCCTGGGAATAAAACACGTTTCTCGATTAACCGGGCCAAATGTGCGCACTGTCACCTCCGTTGTCCCTCAGCCAGGAGACAAAAGCCCCTCCAATAGGAGGCATCATGGGCTTGCTTGCTTTCTAGGACAGATGCACCTGTGGATTCTCTACAGGGGCCCAGGCTCGTCTGGGCTCATCAAATTTTATACCCATTGGTGGACGCCAGCTTACTCACTCTGCTTTTATTTCTTTTCTCTCAGCCTTCCAGCACTGACCCCGGTTGCTTGCTTCTTGCTCAGGGACCTTTGCTTTGTGTTGACCTTACAGGATCTACACTTCTGCCATGCAGTAAGACACTTGCTCGGGGTCTTCATTATGACATGGAAATGAACATATGCAGATGGGGGATGGAGAGACCATCCTCAGGGTGGGCCTAGCTTTCCCCAGGGTAGGACGGAGGGCCGCTGGGGACAGTTTTCAGCTTCCATGTAGTGAGGAGAAGAGGCTGGCCTGGTGGTGAGCAAGGACTTCCGGTTCTGACTAGGTGGTCACCGGGTAGCATTAGCCATCACCACTCACATTGCTCTCATTGGGACACTTTGTGTTTTGATCACCCTGTCCCCATGCACTTTTAGACTGTGTTAAGGTTGTCCAAGAATCCGGGTGTGTTCGTGTATGCTACTCAGGGATAGGAGGATGCAGGTTCAAGCCTGGCCCTGGTAAAGTTAGCCTGAAAAACAAATTAAAAGCAAAAACGACTGGGGACATGGCTCAAGGGGTAGAGGATGTGTCTCACCAGCACAAGCCTCTGAATTCAGGTTGCTGTCCTCATTGCTGCATCTCAGTTGTCTTTTCTATGAGTTTCTATTTCACAAAAGAATGGCTTTATTACGCTGAGATGGCACTATCACCTTGACTCAGGGATTGCAGATGGGTGTAAGATGCCAGGACTGTGTATTATTACAAGTACGTTTGAATATTATGCTCACAAACAGACTGGATTGCTTGAAATGTAGCCTTCCTTCTTTCATTTTTAATTTTTCCTATGAGAGGACAGTGCTTGATGGCTCAGGTTCTAGAGCTAGGCTTTGCAATCAGATCTTGGCCTTATTAATACCTTTCTAGCTGTGTGACCCCAGCAAGTTATTTGACCTCTCTGTTTTCAATTACCTACTCAGTAAAATAGGAATAATATAAGTATCTCACAGGGTTCTTGTGAAAAGCTTAAATGAGCTAATTTACAAGCATGTAGCAGTGCTTGAAACCTCATAAGAACTCAATAAATATTAGCTTTTATTATTAATTCTCTGCTTAATTAACACTAATTTATTAAACTCCATTTTAAATATCACCATCTCTGTGAAGCTTTCCACAATTACCCGAGGCAGAACTAATCCTGTTCACTCCTCTGTTTTCCCAGAGCATTTTGTACATATTTGATTGAACTGTAAATAATTTTTAACATGTGTCTTTCTCCCTTGCTAGACTATTAGCTCCATAAGGATAGATTCCCTTCTTTTTAAAATTCATGTTGTATTCCTAGTTTCTCGCATAATTCCTGGGTTGTCCACCAGTGCATAATAAATACATGTTAATGACTTATCTCTACCGAGATCCCGGAAGTCCCTGAGCCTTGGGCCATGCCCTGGTGTGCTCTCAGAACGCTTTGCATACACTGCTGGACACACAGCAAATGCTCTATCAATACTTGCTGATTGACAAGTAGTTAAACTGCCTACCTGCATGGTAACACACCATTAAATCATAACCAAGGTATTTTGAAAGAGGAGAATAAACAATGTGAGGTATGATTTGTTTAGAAATAGTGTTACCACTAAGAATAGTATTATACGCAGGTTGTAGCATTCGCACCAGGAAGTTGGGGGGTAGATTAAAAACAGAAATGCACAGCTGAGGCTCTCTGTTACATTTGTAGGACACTGAGACCACTTAACAAACAGGGAGAAGTCTAGGGTGAGTGGAAGAGTGAGTAGCAGAGTGGAAGAATTTAAACTATGGAGCAGAGGAATCTGTATCAAGGCTAGACAAGAGGAGGGAGAAAACCAGCTAACATGAACGGATGACTGGCAGAGAGATAACATTAAAAATGAAAACAGATAATGTGGATCCACCAGGAAAAGTAAAGAAGGAAAGACGGTATATGTCAAGGACCAAAGAAACACTGTTGGGAAATGCAAAAAGTAAGAGTAGAGTAGTGAAAGGCAGCTGGCTGTGTGAAAGCACAACAGAAACAATGCAAGGTCAAAAAGAACAAGGTCTGAGGCCCACGGAGAAAGGCAACGCCTCCTACATTTCTCTCAAATTCAGGAGTTAAAAGAAAAAAAGAAAATAGGCAAAAGTAACACATATACACAATTTGGGTAATTTTTTTTTGTCAGTCATGGGACTTGAACTCAGGGCCTGCATGCTGTCCCTGAGCTCTTTTGCTCAAGGCTAACACCCTATGGCTCTCAGCTACCGTGCCATTGTTGGTTTTCTGGTAGTTCATTGGAGATCAGAGTCTCACAGAGTTTCCTGCCTGGGCTGGCTTAGAACAGGGATACTTAGATCTCAGCCTCCTGAGCAGCTAAAACTATAGGCCTGAGCACAATTCAGTTTTAATGGTAAATTTTGTTTTATCCAGAAAATGGATCCCAATAAATTTATAGGTTGTCCTGAAGTTAAATCAGGGACAGTTGTTTTCTAAAATGGAAGGCTACAGATAGTTTGATGTTACATATAACCATTTAGTTGTCTTGAATGACATATAGGAGGCTTTTTTAAAAACTGACAATGAGAAGAAAAAGAATTTAATTTAGTATTTCCCCACACATTTAACCACAGAAAATTCCATGAAACACAAACCTAATACTGCCCTGAATATAAAATATACAAAAGTGTAAATTTTACAAATAGAAGTTGTTCAATAATTCACTTGTAGTTTTTAAAATTTTAGACGAAATTTCAGAAACTTTTAGTATGTGTAAAAATAAAAGCTGGATGCCAGGGTCTTATGCCTGTAATTTTAACTACTCAGGAGGCTGAGATCTGAGAATCCTGGTTTCAAGCCAGTGTGGGTAGACAAATCTGAGAGACTCTTATCTCCAATTAACCAGCAAAAAGCTGGAGGTGAAGCTGTGACTCAAAGGATAGAGCATGAGCCTTGAGTTTAATAGCTAACTGAGTCTGGGGTCAGTGTTTCACACCTGTAATCCTGGTCATTCTTGAGGCTGAGATCTGAAGATCATGGCTTGAAGATAGTCCAGACAGAAAGTCTATGAGATTTTTAACTGTAAGTAACCACCAAAAGGTAGCTAGAAGTAGTGATGAGTGATAAGAGTACTAGCCTTGGTCAAAAAAGCTCAAGGGCAGCACGTAGGCCCTAAGTTCAAGTCCCAGGACTGGTACACACACACACACACACACGCACGCACACACACACACACACACACACACAATGTGAAGGCCCAGGTCTTGTGTTCAAGTCCTAGTTTCACCAAAGGAAGAAACATCAGTGAGACATTTATGGAGAAAATAAATACTTGAACTACATTTGCATATTTACTAGTAAAATATACACATTTGTACATTTGGCTTAATATTTACCTTGATGGCAGGGATAGGTTTTTGGGGACTAAAACAGTTTCTCTCAAGTGGCACAAAAGCTGTATTTCGTTCTTTCAATCTCATCTTGTTCTCTGCTATGATTTTCTTGCGCTGTTCAAGATAAGGTCCAAAGTTTGGCAGTTTCTAAAGGGAAAAATACAAATAAGAAAGTATGTCTGTGCATAGAAGAAAAAAAAAGAAAGGATATAAACACAGAAATACAACCAACAAAGGAACATGTGTACTGGACTGTTTCATGCTTCTATAATGCGGTCTTCATTCATGCTTAGTCCATTAGTTTTGTAGGTATCAGATTCAATTAGTTATTACAAAGAACACAAGAGTTCAATGCCTTTACCGAATATGGATGTATTAGTTACAAAATGTTAATTAAGATACATTTCTAAGTGGAGGAAGTTCATCATGACCAACCCAATCCATTCACTTAAAAAATAGCAATTAGTTAACCCATTTGCTTGGTTTTTACAGACAGAGGTGGGAGCTGGAGATGCTTTTCCTCTTACCCATTCAGGATTTTAGTATGATGTTGACACAGCTATAGTGTCTGACAAATGCTTTTGTCAATAGCCAAGTTATTGGGCCACAGTTCTAATCTGTAGCACTAATTTTACTATGTTCAAATTCCTACAACATCTCTTTAAAGACAGTAGCTAATGTTGATTGCAATTTACTGGAATGGTGGAAAAACCAAATGGTAACAAATATTGATTTCTCTGTACAGAAAGTAAAGTTAGTATCGCAGAAGGAGGCAAAAATAGACATGAAAAGGAGAGGCTATATCACTGTGCTTAACGCAACTCTATCAGTATTCAAAACCATCCCAGCTTTAAGTGTCAAGGTTATTCAATTGTACTTTACAAAAGTTCATTTAGAAAGATACCTGGGTGTCACGGAAAAATGCTAAGTGGTTTCAAGTTAACATGGAAATGCCCTTATCTCATTTGTTATTCCACAATTATTTCCTCTTCACTGTGTCCTTCTCCTTTTCTAGAACCTTCTATCTGACATAGACTGTTGATGACAGACACCATTGAATTCCAAATGTTTTGTGTCAGCCTGTACTTTAGCACTGCTAGGTTTGTCTAATACAGTAAAACACCATCAACAACAACCTCTTCCTGCCACACAGACACCCTCTTTCTCTAGTAGAACAAAGCCCGTTTATTTATTTGATGGAGTTTTGGAAAAACTACTGCTACTTCAAGGTCATCCTGATCTCTTCACCTAACAAGTACTTTGAGGGGCAAAAACCACATTCCTTTCTGAATGTTGTCTTCATCCTACTCCGGAAAAATGAGTTCTCTTGTCCTCTAGAGATCTTTGGTGTAGCTAAACTAAACTTGAGCCATATTCTGCTTAAGGCAATCTGAAACTGTTAAATTGGTATTAGTCAAGAATCTATTTATGTAGAAATATCCAAGGTTGTTATTTTCATGATCCATTCACTATAACTATGTAACAAGTCAAGTAAATGAAAACTGCATCATGACTGCCAAGTTCATTTATACATTATTAGATTTGAATTATGTACTTCATCTCTATATCTTAATGCTATTCTACATTAAAATATTGAATGGAAGTAAATAAGAAAATGATATGAATATTTTTGAGATGCTGTCTTATTGAAAGCATTAAAAAGCAAGAGTATAAAACAAATTCTCAATATTTATCCCATATATAAGCCTTCTTAATGCAGAAAAAATGCTTATATAAAATGTCATCTTGTGAAATGACTTTTTTTTTCTCCAGGGATAAAGGAGGAGCTGAGGATTACACCTGCTGTTGAGACAATGCCCTTGGGTCTTGATAACACCTCGCAGGGCGTCCATCACGTGCTACACGATATAAAACTCCAGAGCCATTATCCTTGCTCCCTGAGGGCATGGCACTTTCTTTGCTCAACACCATCTAATTCCATTTGAGTTTTTCAAAGGTCCTTCAAGAGAACATAGTTTAGGGGATTTGTAGATTCATTTTCTTTAAGCATAAATCAGAGATTTCTTTATTTTCTGTTTAGACTATTCCTTCTCTAAATAAGGAGATTTAACAGTTAAATGGAAACCATGATTTGAAATTGTTGTAATGAGGAAGACAATGATGATGATGATGATGATGACAACGATGATGATAATTGACATTTGACCAACCATTGATGTTCCATGTAAAACAGCCTAGGAGCCTGATATTTTCTGTAAGTTTTTACATATTTGCCATCTATATAGATTATCATGCAGCCTTTTTGTGCCTAATGGTGCCATGGCTCTAATGAGCTTGCTTGCTCTTTTTTTCCTTCCTTCCTTCCTTCCTTCCTTTCCTTCCCTTTCTTTTTTCTTTCTTTCTTTCTTTTTCTTTTTTCTCTCTCCCTTTCTTTCTTTTCTTTATTTCTTCCTTTCCTTCCTTCCTTGTTTCCTTCCTCTTTCTTTCTCTCTCTCTTTCTACCTCCCTCCTCCCTCTCTCTCTTTTTCTTTCTTTTCAAATAATTAATCCTAAAAAAAAGAAGTTTTCAGTTCAAAATGTTGGTTAGAAGAAATCAGTGAAAGGATTTTTCTTTACATTGAAAGAATCCATCCATAAAACAGCAAAGACTACTCTCTCCTACTTAACATCAAATGCCTCTGAATGATTTTTTTCTTTTCTTTTTAGTTTTTTTTTTTTTGGCAATTCCTCACTGCCATGAGGAGAATAGCTAAGAACCCCCAAATTCAAGGCTTCCAGACACATTTTGTATCCTTCATTAGTAAGGAAAGTTGTATGCTTCTCATAAAAAAAAACAACCTCAAAAAACAAAAGTGTGCATTTAAGTATCTGTAGGATCTGAATGTGTTAGAAGTTAAATTCCCTAAAACTACAGATCAATTCTTTCCCGCACCATTAGGATCAACCTTATTCACACTACATTTGGGTAAGCACGGATGTTCTGAGGTTGCCCAAACAGACAAAGACAAATCCAAAGCCGAACAAAGCCCAGGAGAAGCAAGGACGAATGTGTAGTTTGGCTACGGTGCACGTGGACAATCAGTGAGATGAAGAAAGCATTTAGCTCAGATCTCTGCCTGAACATATCGTTAATTGATTTCCCATTGCAGGATGAGAAGCAGCGGGGCCTGGCAGAGGCAGCAGCAGGAGCTTTTTTCCTCTTCATTCATTATTTCCTTACAGAAAAAGTTGTAGCCTGCAGTAACTCAAAGCGAGAGGATACGAGCGTCATGCTATATTTCTTCAACAAAGGGAAAAAGTTCTTTAGGACTATCAAAAGCTGCTTTGTAACTGATGAACTGAACAAAGCTCAGAAGTGGTGTGATTTTTGTTGCAACCGTTTCTCCAGGGATTCATCATTGATGAATTTGTTCTCGCCAGAAAAGCTAAATCCTACTCATTTAAAGATAACAGTATCTCACACTAAAACTGTCTCTCTCCAGATAGAAAAAGTATTACATTGCCGATAGAAAACAGACAACATAATGGATCAACAATGATACCTTAAGGCAGCAAAGCTTTAAGGGAAAAAGTCTATTTGGATTATAATATATGCACAGATCAATCTAAAGGTAATGGAGCATATTAAGGTATAAAAAAGAGGGTTCTTGTCTCCAACACAGAAAGCACAGGTACCATCTGGTTTAAACTGCACAGTTTTAATGAGGATGACAGCAAGTTGGCTAGTAGTAATAGTCTATAGTACAGTAAGGCAACTCTAGTTTTTTGTTTTTTTTGGTCGGTCATGAGGTCTGAACTCTGGGCCTGGGCACTGTCCCTTGGCTCTTCAGCTCAAGGCTAGTGTTTTACCACTTGAGCCACAGCACCACTTCCAGCTTTTTCTGCTTATATGGTGCTGAGGAATCTACCCAGGGCCTCATGCATGCAAGGCAAGCACTCTACCACTGAGCCACTTTCTCAGCCCCTCTAGTTGCTTTAAAAAATATATTGTAAAGGTGATGTACAGAGGGTTTACAGTTACATGATTCAGGTAATGACTACATCTCCTTTTGAACAGTGTCAGTCCTCCCTCATTCTCTCCCAGATTTTTCCACTCCTGACTTCCTTCCCTTCATAGTGCCATAGTTCATTTCCAGCATAGTGGGTTTCACTGCTGAATTGCTTCACCCTTTGTCCCACCATTTCTATGCTTCCCCTTTCCTTCCCCAAATCAGATAAACTTACTTATACAAGATGAAGGGTGCAGAAATTAAAAAACGGTGACAGGAAGGAGTTAACCAAAAAAAAAAAAAGAAGAAGAAAGAAGAAAAGAAAAAAAGGCAAAACAGTACAATAAAAGAGCCTCATTTCCATTTCTTGGAGCTCATTTTGGTAAGCATCATTTTATGTGATCATATGCACATAGCTATTGAGCCCTTGTGGTCCTCTCCTAAGAATATTCTCCTTTGTTCTCACTGTGTGAATGTTTAGAGTACTGTTTAATTAATCATGGCCAGGAGTCATTATTTGTCTTTTTACTGTTCATTGGGTTTATTTATAGATTTACAGGCACATTCTAGTTATTTCAAATGAGGGAAGCAATACAGCCTATGTTTCTTTGGGTCTGGCTTGATTTGCTTAATGTAATTATCCTCTTATCTGATTAGAAACAAGAACATCAAGAAAAGTAAAAGTAATTACTTTGATATCTACAAGGTTAAGCACAAAAAGATAAAAGTTCATGTGTATACTGACATATATGCAATATATATGAGACACACACATGTAGATACATACATATTTACCTTCATAGTCAACTGTTTGTATATGTGTGTATGTGGATTATATATAAATACAACTAATCATTTTTATTATATATGTGTATATTATGTATATACATATGATTAGCCAACTAATCATATTATATATATATGTGTATATATGTGGTAGATGTGTATATACTGACAGAGTGACGGATGACAGAGGTAAAAAACATACCTATCCGTTGGTCATAAGGTATTTACATAGGACATTGTTACTCTACTTAACCATTGCTTACATTTTTCAACAAATATACTATCAAATGTTATTATGGGCCAGGAACTATATCCTGTGTTAAATTAGAGGCCAAATAATTCCCATATGGCTTGTTCACTGTTATCATCATTATCAATTTTGTAATAATTTCTTTCCACTATTCATTCAGG